ATTTTCCCAGGTGCTCAGGATGGTCCTTTTGCACATTAAAGTTCAAAATCAGCAAAAAAAAAAAAGACAACGCAGGGACTTCGGACCCGGGACTATGAGAGCTAACAGGTCACGGACATTCTCAGGCTGTTTTTTTTTTTTTTTTTTAATACAAGAAGCATGAGAGATCAGAGTCCTGAAGGTGTGAAGAGACTGGGCAGAGCAACGAATAAGAATGAAGAGTTTGGGATTCTAACCTCTGTCGTGAGAGTGTCTGTGGCTGAGAGCAAATTACGTTACCTCCCTGGGTCTCTTTCGTCTGCACAATGAAGGGCTTGAACTCCATCACCAAGTCCTTTAAGGCTCCAGAGTCACCGAACTGAAGCCGATGCACGGCTGAAGTGCTCAGTCCCGGAGTAGCAGAGGTGGAGGACAGCCCCACCGCCTCCCGTGCACCCACGTCGCGCAGGCTCCGGGTCGCCGTGTAAGGGCAAGAAGGCGGAGACCTTGCGTCCACGGCCGCTACTCGCACCGCCCAGCCTGCCCCCCAGCTAGCGCGCCCCTCTCCCGCCGCCCCCCAGAGCGCGGACCTGGCCGCGCGGGCCCCCGGAGGGAAGCGGGCAGCATTACCCGAATGCGGCTGCAGGCCCGGCACGAGGGACCGGGTTCCCGGGCTTCAGAGCTGACAGGAGGATCCGCAGACGCCGCAAAACCGAGCTGTTTGGCGCCGCATCCATGATCACAGTGGCGCCCAGCCTCGGAGCGCGCCTGCGCCGGGATCCACCCACTGCCCCGGGAGGGCCCGGCAGCACCGCAGGAGAACAAGCCGGCGCCTCTCCCCACCCGCTGCCGTTGGCCCGCTGGCTGAGTCTCTAGGAAACACGCATGCGCCGAGGGCCCGCTCCGCCGGGCTGCATGGGAACATGCTTGCGCCGGGACTTCAGCCGGGAGATGGAGGCATTGGTCCCCTTCCGCCAGCCTACCGTTGTCAACGCTGAGGTGCTCGGCCGCGTAGCCCGCTGGGCTGTCTCTGACCCTTGACAGAAACGGGGCTTGGGGTCCCACGGGCCCTGCAACACAGATCGTCTCCTCTCGGGGTGCCAGCTCTGGCTCACGAGGAGCACGTCCCAGTGGGCTCTGCTCCGCTCGTCGCCACGGTGACTGGTCCTTTCAAGGACTGCTCCCATCCGCCCATCTTTCAGGGAGTGGATGGTGAGGAGGGGCTCCGGAGGGATGGGAGAGAGAAGGGGGGCTTCAGGCTGGCAGCTATCGGTGAGGTGAAATGCATTTGCTTCTAAGAATGATGGGATTAAAATTTACCTTCATACCATCTCACATCCATTGGTATAGCTATTGTCAACAAACAAACAAACCAGAAAATAGTAAGTATTGGCAAGGATGTGGAGAAATTGGAACCGGTGCACCGCTGGTGGGAATGTAAAATGGTGCAGTGGCGGTGGAAAACAGCATGGTGGGTCCTTAAAAAATTACACCTAGAATTACCATAAGATCCAGCAATTCCACTTCTGGGTATATACCCTCAAGAATTGAAAACAGTGTCTCAAAGATATTTATACACCCATGGTCATAGCATTATTCACAACAGCCAAAAGGTGGAAAGCAACCCAAATGTCAATGAAGGGATGAAGGTATAAATGTGTATACATGTAATAGAATACTGTTCTTTAAAAAGGATGGAAATTCTGACATACGTCATAATATGAACATTGGGACATTATACTAAGTGAATACGCCAGTCATAAAAGGACAAATACTGTATGATTTCATGTATATGAGGAGTAGGCAAATTCAAAGAGACAAAGTAGAAAGGTGGTTTGCCAAGGGATGCCGGAAGGGGAGGATGGGGGGTTAGTGCCTAATGGGGGCAGAGTTTCAGTTTTGTAAGATGAAAGGAGTTCTGGAGTTGGAAATGGTGGTGGTAGCACGAGGCTGTGAGTGTACTTAATGCCACTGAACTATCTCCTTAGAAGTTAAGATGGTAAGTTTTATTTGTATTTTATCACAATTAAAATATTTTTCTTCTTCAGATCATATAATTGCAGCTTTCTAAAGATTATAAACATTACCTGCAATTCACAATTCAGTGGAGAAAAAACTACCGCTGTAATTCTGGCTACCACTCTGACTTAACTGGAAATAACTGGCAGATTTACGGTCACTGTTTAGCCTTGGCTCCAATTATCCAGGATAGCTGAGGCTTCCTTGCATATCACATTCTTCCTCTTCCATGAGACCCTTCTATTGTAAATAGTCCTATACACACAGTGCTCTTTAAAGTGTTACAGCCATGGAAAGTTCTGATACCTGCAGTATCCCCACTGGCCATTTGAGTTTCTTGAGCCATAAAGGCAAGGCGGGCCTAAAAATGGATTATGCAAAAATATTCTCTCAACATAAATGTGACATATCAGTTTCCCGCATAGAAGGAAAGAGAAATACATTTCAGCTGATTACTATCATCTGACTTTCAGAAACCTTTGGTGGGTCAAGGTTTCCTTCTTTTTTCCTGAGACGTTGATTTGGGATTTCTGGTCAGAGATCATGAGAGTAAAAATAATTGTACAATTTTAGCGTGTTATCCTACCGAGAAGCAGAAACGATTAGCACTGTGAGGCTTTAGGTTATTGGTGTCACAATTGATTTTTAAGTGCACAATTGAGAACTAGTCCTTTATGTATAACACTATTGTACAGTTTTAAAAATAACTGTGCTGGGTATGATGCATTATTTTGATCCTCACATCAACTTTATTGCCCTATTACTAGAAGAGAAAATTGAGGCTAAGAGAGGTTAGGAAGCAGGCCCTCCATACACAGCAAAGGAGTGGCAGACGAGAATTTAAGCCTGCTTGATTTCACAACCTGTACTTGGATTGTTATTTGTTGTGGAATTCACTGGACTAGCATTAGGCCTTCAGTGATTTCTTTGTAGTCATATTTCTAAAATCTTGACCACATAGACACCTAGTGTTTTGCTTTGTTCTTTTGTTGTTGTTGTTGTTTTCTTGACTTCAGTCCTTTGCAGTGAAATTGCACATTAACCCTGCCTGATTGCAATGGGTAAAAATCATTAATCTTTCACTTCCTGCCCCTAAAACCCTAAAACCTGAAGGGTTAAATTTAAAATTTAAACCGCGGTGTTGTATTAAATTCAGTTTTGGCAGCTAGTAGATATTTTTTATCCTACAACAACAGATGTGACTAAAAGAATCGATCTTGTTGACATGGTTCTTCTTTTTTTTTTTTTTTAAAGATTTTATTTATTCATTTGTCAGAGAGAGAGCACAAGCAGTAGGGCGGCAGGCAGGGGGAGAAGCAGGCTCTCCGCTAAGCAGGGAGCCAGATGCGGGACTCGATCCCAGGACTCTGGGATCATGACCTGAGCCGAAGGCAGATGCTTAACCGACTGAACCGCCCAGGCATCCCGACATGGTTATTCTTGTATGGAGAGAAACCAATACTAAAATACTAACAATATCATCTATGATTGCACATTCTGGCAAGGAAGTTTTTACATAAAGTCAGGTTCAGCTTGTTTTCCATTGTAGTGTCAAAGCCTGCTGCTGACACAAAACATTTTTACCTGCAATTGCCTAAGTCATTTATCTTAGTAACACCTAGTTTTATTCACATTATTATAAAAGAAAAACGTTTGTAAATAACACACATTAAAATGTACATCGAAATACTATTTAAAACATTTTCTGAGAAAGAAAGAACTATTCCTGAAGACCTAACTTCATATGATGGACCCCAAACAAATACTGTAACCACAGCAAGTGGAAAACCCGCTGATTTCACAAGCTGTAAGAGTTGGAAGTGGGCGTTATTTACAGTAGAAATCTTAGGGTCTTTTGCAGAACCAAGTATGATTTCTCATTTTGTAGTCCGTGCCATCTCACTTAATTGATTTTCTGCCCAATTGATTTTCTTGTATTGAAACTCCTCAGATACAAATTTGGCTCTTTTCAGTCCAGTTTTTAGAGAGTGGGGGCTGAAAGAAAGACTTCTGAACCATGTCTGAAGGACAGCGGGGCTGCAGGCTCTCAAAGCAGCGCATTTTTATCCTGAGAGCCAAAAAGCTGTCCAGAAGCTTCTCTTCTTTTTACTCTCAGCTTCCTCTTGGCTGCTAATAGCAGGAGGGTGAAAGGGAGAGTACGTATAGGAAATGCCAACCTAAGTGGAGAAGCCCAAACGGTTTCATTTATACAAACACATCATTTCAGTTGCTTATATTTGAGGTACAAAATTTTTTTTTTAAAAGTCCATTAAAAATACCATTTTTGCCTCTTAACATTGATCATCCAATTGCTTTGGAATTTAGAGAATTTAAACACTTAGGATAGAGGTACAAGGGATACATTTAGAAAAGCAATCATCCACCCACTCCTCTCTACCAAAGCCTGGGACTCTTTCTCCATCCAATTTTTCTTTCGGTCTGTGTGATCTAATGCTATGTGGCAACTAAGTAGTGAGCCTAGATATGTGTGGGTAAGAGACTGAGGTTCATTACTTTGTAGCAGGGCTCTTCTCAACGGGGGCACCTGTGTCCTTCCAGGGAACATTTGGCAATGTCTCAAGACATTTTGGCTTGTCCCAACTGGGGACAGGAGGAGGGGAGAATGGCACTATTCACATCTAGTGGGTAGAGGATACTTTCAGATATCCAGATCCTACAATGCTCGGGACAGCCCCCACAACAAAGAATTATCTGGCCCAAGATGCCAATAGTGCAGAAGTTGAGAAATTCTGTTTTACAGTCCCACTTCAGGTGTTGGGGTGTGTGTGTGTGTGTGTGTGTGTGTGTGTGTGTGTGTGTGTCAGCTGGGGCTAGCGGGATTTTAGAATCACCAACCACAATACTGTTATCAGCCCACCAGACCCTAGAATCTGTTCTGACATCCAGAGTCACCATACTGCATCCTTCTCTCCCTCCTTCCTGGAAGGGCGGAGCACAATGACACACCCTCTCTGTTTAGCCACATGCAGGCAGTGATACTGGATGGGCTGCTTGCCTTCAGTCTTCTAGTCTTCTGGTTCCTTTCACTCATTCCTGAGTTTCGGGTGGGCTTTGAAAGGTCCAGTGTTAGAAGCACAATTATCAGACTTTGAAGCATCCTTTTTTTACATCACAGCAGCTCACAGAAAAAAATGAAAATATTTCTACAGTATCCTGGGGTAAGCTGAGGAAGCTGCTCAACAGTGATCAGCCCTGAAGCTCCAGTCACAGCCAGGTGTGAAGAGATCAATATTCCCTGCAACCTCTGCAGGGCACAGAGGTTGGGAAAGTACATAAAGTATCAGAATGCTAGGAAAGAACTTAAAAACTTCATCAAGAATTGATGTAGTCACTACAATTAGTAGTAATTCCTTGCAACAACCACCTGGAAAATTCTGATATTTTTGTTCTCTATTTTTTTTTTTTCTGTTTTAGTACTCCTTAAAATCCCTTCAGTTAATTTATGGAGTGGAGACTGCATGTAATTCTTGAAGCCTGTGGTGACTGACACAACATTTGATACTGAAGTTAACAGACCTTAGAGTTTTGGAATGAACTGTGGTTAGAATACCAAAAAAAAACTAGTTGAAGAGAACTCACAATTTCACTGTACTTTGGTGATGACAGGAACCTATGTGGAGAAGAGAGCATAAAATAAGAAAGTTGAATTTTTTTTTCTCTTGCTGAAACAAAACTCCAGGAAATTAAATGAATGTCATTGCGGAAGGTTACGGAATGAACTGAAAGAAAATTATCTTCCTCAAGGATCTCTCCCTTTCAAAACCCAATTAGGCTTCTTTTTGGAGTGGGTCTCAGCCATTAATAGGTCTTCCTGGTTAGTAGGTTGTTCGCTGTAGATTTCTTTCCCATTCTCCAGCTATGGAATGCGGGAGATTTTTATGCAGAGAACCTGTATCAATGAGGAGAGAATTCTGAAGGATCTGAGGCAGCACACTTCCAGCGGGTTACTTACTAGGTGAGGAGATTACCTCATGCTGCCAAAGCCCCTTCTGGAGTTAGCTCTGGCTGATATGTACCAAATAGTTCAGGAGGTCTATTCTTGAACACTGGTAGAGCGCATAGGCCAGCTTTCCCACCGTGGCCCCCTTATTGCCTTCCCTCATCAGCCACTTTTGGAGCATCTGGTAAACCTTTTCTTTTAGTCCATCTCGCTCATAGTCGTGGTCAATTTCCTCAATCTGAGGTTCAGTGAAGCCCAGCTTACGGGCACAGTTTTTCCATTGCTTTCCCAGATTTTCCCTGACTGGGTTCAGATGTTTATCAGTCAGACTAGTGATATTTTCTGCCAAACAGAAAAGAGAAGAAGGCATCAGGCTATAACCCATTTGAACATTCTAGTTTCAAAAACCTGTATAAAAAGTATCAGGAGACAATAAAAAAGATAACTTATTAATTATAGAGTTGTTGACCCGTGAGGTGATACTTTACATGTCTGGAAGCCCATTTGGAATGTTTATGTGAGTACAATAGAGAACCTCTTCCTCTTAGCAGATACCTCTCCGAGCTACAGCTGATGGCATTGGGAATAAAAGCCCTGCTTGGCTACTAGGCTGTTCTATACAACCTTAGCCAGTGGCCCTGTTAATATCAGACCTTCCTGATGTAAAGAGGGAAGAAAACACCATTTTTGTTCCTTTTGGCATTGTCTACTTATATCTGGCCAGAATCAAGGTCATTCAATTCCTGATCCCCTGCCCCCTACAGTTCACTTTCCTCTTACTTAGGGAAACCAAGACCATCAAGTGCAAACTTTTCAATTACAATGCCTTCCCTTATCTTTTAAGGAATGAGGTATCTACTTTTCAAGGTCTGTTTGGGACTCCTCTCTCCTTTACCCTAAGTGTTATCTTCTCTTCTCCTACAGCCACAGCCTCCCTTTCTACTGGTTCCTTCCTCTTAGGCCTTCATAAAAATAACAAAAAGAAACTAAAGTATAAAATCACCACCACACACATTTTCCTTGATCCTCATCCCAGCCCAATAAGCTCAATATAAGGAAAAAGACATCTCATTCCCCATGCCCACTCTTTCCTTAGCATCCCCCCTCGCCCCGCAACTCCCATTCTTTCCTTAGCTCCCCACAATGCATTTCTGTCAACACCACTGGATGTCAGCAGTCCAAAAACGTCCCAAATTTTGTCAACACCTCTCCGGGAGAGGGACCCTGGGTTTCATCAGATTCTCAAGGGTACCTGTGTCACCCCAAGAGTTAGGAACCTCCTCTCTAAGGACTATTCTTCATATGGATTAGGCCAGGGATTGGCAAACTATGGCCTCTGGGCCAAATCTGGCCTGCTGCCTGTTTTTGTAAAAAAAGTTTTACTGGAACACAGCCACGTACATATGTACATATTGTCTGTGGCTGCTATTGCATTGCAATGTCAGGTGAGTAGTTGCAACAGAGACCTCAGGGCCAGTGAAACCTAAAATATTTACTATCTGGCACTTGACAGAAACATTTTGCCAGCCCTGGGGTTAATCATAAAGCTGCGTTCTTAAATCCCATTGTTTTGGCCTCATGCCTGTTTCCCAGGTTGTGTTTTGGGATTAATGTTATGAGCCTGCAGAGTGGAACCCTGTAAGAGAAAGCTCTCTTGTTTTTATAACGGAGGTGCTGTTGAGGGCATAGTCTTCTATCTTTTCAGAATCCCTTTTGATGAAGACCTGAGGGACCTACCTCTCTTAGGTCTGAGTAGTGATATTGATCATGATGATGATGATGATGTGTTCAACACTTTCATAGATCTTACTATGTGTTAGGCAGTGTTCTAAGCTCTTTATACATATTGACTCATTTAATTTTCATAACCAATCTGTGAATTAGATATTGTAATTATCCCCATATTAAACATAAATAAACCACAAAGGAATTATACGGAAATTACAGAGACATTTTACAGAGAAAACATGGGGCAACTTTCAGGGAAAATAATTGGAAAAATTTCAGGATTCCACTCTATCCCTCTAAACAAGTAAGAAAGTTTCAGGTTGCTAGATGACAGGTCCTTAAAGGCATCTTACCAAAGATATCTTGGTACTTAGAAGCTGGCTCTTCTTTCAAGTTCATGTCTGGTAGCACTGAACTCATTCCACTAATCTCCATATAATTATGGTCTCCAACCTGAATGCCAGCACTGTTGTATATGGTACATTTTGCAGACTCATCTGAATAGAGTGAAACACACAGGTAAGTATATCTAGACTGAAAGCAAAAGAAATAAATACAACATGGTAAAAGGGCAGAGCTTTACTCCAGATGTATAATTTAAATTATTTATCCTATGCCAACCTTTGAAATTTTCTTCTTTAAAATGTAACTGAACCAACCTCACATCCATCAGGATGACTACTATAAAAACAAAAACAAAAACAAAACAACAACAGAAATAACACGTGTTGGCAAGGATGTGAATGAACTGGAACCCCTGTGTGCTGCTGGTGGGAATACAAAATGGTGTGGTAAACAGTATGGAGGTTCCTCAAAAAAATTAAAAATAGAATTACCCTATGATCCAGCAATTCCACTTCTGGGTATATACCCAAAGGAATGAAAGCAGGGCCTCAAACAAAGATTTATACACCCCAGTCTATAGCAGCATTATTCACAACAGCCCAAAAGTGGAAGCCACCCAATGTCCATCAACAGAGGAACAGATAAGCAAAATGTGTTATGTACTGACAATAGAATATTTTCAGCCTTAAAAAGGAAGGAAATCCTGATACATGCTACAACATGGATGAACCTTTAGGACACTGTGCTCAGTGAAATAAGCCAGTCACAAGAGGACAAAGATTGTATGATTCCACTTATATGAAGTACCCTAGAGTAGTCAAATTCATAAAGACGCAAAGTAGAATGGTGGCTGCGCAGGATGGGAGGTGGACTGGGGAATTAGTGTCTGATGAGTACAGAATTTCAGTTTGGGAAGATGAAAAGAGCTCTGGAGATAAATGGTGGTGATGGTAGCCCAATATTTTGGTTTCATCACAAATGGCAGTCTTTGGCCTATATAAGATAAGAATCAAAATATCCAAGACTTCTTTCTTAACCTTCAGAAAACAGCAAGCAAGTAAAAGAACACAAGCAGTGACCTTCACTTCCATCACAGATTGGGTACAATGGGACCACTGTGATGCAGATTAGAGCAGACAATGCCTACCAGTTACAAGGAAGGACCTGTAACCCAACACTTGCAGGCAGCTGCAATGAATCCCACCTGAACTGAGGCCAAGTGGTCTGATGGAGACTATTCCACGGTTGCAAATTGCATCTGGTGGCTGAACACCACAAGCAACTCACCCTTGTTACCTTAGAGTCTACAACAGAGCTAATGGCTGCTTTATTTTCAGAAACATTTAAAAAAAAAAATTGTAGCTAAAGAAACTGTTTACCTCTTGATGGGACGGAGATGAATGGAAGGGTGGGTGTATTTCCCAGTAGGTTGGTCTCAGGCACTGGAGTTTTATGCACGCTTGGCATATGGCTTGGATTTGGCCCATACCAAACTCTTGAACCTGCTGTTCCCAGATCCTGTGGTCTTGTTCCAAAAGGGAATGGATTGTACAGTCCATTGTTCCAGTATAGTACTTGGGGTTGGCTGGTTAGCCCTGTGGGTTGGTGTAGTGCATTACCAGGACTGGTTGCACTAGAATAAGGAAGGCCTTTTACTCCTGGGTTCTGAACATTCTCATAAGGTCTCTGCTGTGCAAAAGGGTCATGGGAGACCCTTCGTCTCCTTTCCTCCTCTCTATTATAAGCCACATTCTGTCTGAGCGGTTTTGTCTGCCTGTCCATGCGGCTGCCAAAAAGATGGTAGTTGGCTTCCTCCTGGAGTTTACTCTGCAAGCTGAGCTGATTCTCCTCCTGCTGGTTCTCTAGGGAGGGAGCAAACCAGGACTCCTCCACGGGACCTATCCCAAGTCCCTGGGAACTGTGCAGTGAGCTGGGCTGTTCTGGGGCTGAGAAGAAATGATCAACATTGGAAAGAGTTTCAAAAAGCAACAAGAAGTAAAATAAAAGCTGAGCACCATCATATATCTGTATCTCAGAATAACATACTGAAACGTTTGCGAACAAATAAAAAAGCATTTACTTGATGGTCCTCTTCCTACCTATATTACCTATATAGGTAATTCGTAGAAGTACCTGCATGGTGGTGAGAGAGCACTAGGGAAATTTTAACAGGCAACAGAAATGTGAGTGTCACAGGAATGAGCAAGGAAGAGAGGGACTTGTGTTGTAGCAGAGAAGGTGGCTGTCTCCTTGATGGGATGCAGGGCTACACAATAAGAACAGGAGCAGCTTGGTGTTAAGCACTTTCCATGGATTCTTTTATTCTTTAAAAGCCCTGTAAGAGCAGGAGCAATTATTATCATGACTTGATGGATGACGTTTACAAGAGGTTAATTTGTCCTAAGACAGATAGCTAATAAAGTGGTTTCAATATCCTATACTCTGTTTTTCCTTTAGTTATCATGAAAAAAGTATCCCTCCTTGAATCTGAGATCAACCTCTCTGCTTGTTCTCTGAATCTGTCATCCCTGACCTCAAGGACCTTGCTTCCACACACATTCCTCTTGTTCCTGAGCCGTCACTTTCTTCCTATCAGATATGTTAGGCCTCTTATGTTCAGGATGCTTTGTGATTTTGGTGAATACACTGCTATTTACTCTTTCAAATATATGTATCTTTACTCCCAAATATATTATAAATTTCTTTAAATATTTTATAGCTTCTTCTGTTTCTTTACGGTCATGAAGAGTATTTTTGAGAATAGAGTGAATGCATGAACAAACAAGTGAATACATTACTTTCAATCATTGGATGTTACCTGAATTTGACCTGCTTGGAGGTATTGCTGTACAGTCAATCTGGAGAGAATGCATTCTCTTCACAAATGAATTTTGGGCTGGGTCTGGATACTCTTTCTGTAATTAACAGCATAAATGTACACCTTAGTAAGCAGTAGAAAATAGTTCCAGAAAATTATTATAAGAAAAACAAATCTTTTCAAATGGTAGAGATTTCCTGTAGCTCTTACAAGGAATAAATCTTTTTTTAAAAATAAACTTTTTTCCCAAATAGCCAAAACAACCTTAAAAAAGAAGAACCAATTTGGAGGGTTCACACTTCCTGATTTCAAAACTTACTACAAAACTACAATAATCAAAACTGTGTGGTAATGGTCAAAGGACAGGCAGAGACCAATGGAAGATAATAGAGAACCCAGAAATAAACCCTTGCATGGCTAACTGATTTTCAACAAGGGTGCCAAGACCATGCAATGGGGGAACACAGGATATCCACACCTAAAAGAATGAAGCTGGACCCTTACCATTAATATATACAAAAATTAATTCACATGGACCAAAGCTTAAGCGCTCAAACCACATAAACATTAGAAGAAAACATAGGGGGAAAGATTCATGACATTTGATTTGACAATAATTTCTCAGATAGGACACCAGTAACATAGGCAACAAAATAAAAATAAATAAACTGGACAACATCAAAATTAAAGCCTCTGTGCATCAAAGGACACCATCAAGAGAGTGAAATGGAATAGGAAGAAAAATATTTGCAAATCATGTATCTCTGATAAGGGATGAATATCCAGATTATATAAAGAATTCATACAATTCAATAGTAAAACAACTCAAATCAAAAATGACCAAAGGGCTTGAATAAACATTTCTCTAAAGAAGATCTACAAATGGCACATGAAAAGATGCTCAACATCATTAGTCATTAAGAAAATATCCATTAAAACCACCATGTAAGATATATATGACTTCACACTCATTAGAATGGCTATTATTTAAAAAACAAAACAAAACCCAGAGCATGAAAATTGTTGGTGAGAATGTAGAGAAATTGGAACCTTGTGCATTGTAGGTGGAAATGTAAAATGGTAGGGCCATTATAGAAAACAATTTGATGGTTCCTCAGAAGTTAAACATAGTATTATCATACAACGTAGCAATTCCACTCTTATGTATATACCCAAAAGAATTGAAGGGAAGAGCTCAAAAAAAAAAAATCATACACCAATGTTCATAGCAGCCTTATTCACAGATAAAAGGTGGAAACAATTCAGTATCCATCACAGCTGAATCAATAATCAAACTGTGATAGACACATAAAATGGAGAATTATTCAGCCTTAAAAAGGAGTGAAGCTCTAACACATGCTACAACATGGATGAACCTTGAAAACATTACCCTTAGTGAAACAGGGTAGACACAAGAAGACAAATACTGTCTGATCCCCACATCTGTAAGGTACCTAGAAGAGGCAAATTCATAGACAGAAACTGGAATTAAATGTTACCAGGGGCTGGGGAAAGGGAGGAATGAGGGGCTCTTATTTAATGGATACTGAGTTTCTGTTTGGGATTTTTAAAAATGGAAATGGATACTAGCTACGTTTGTACAACATTGTGAGTGTACTTAATGCTACTGAATTGTACACTTAAAAATGGGTATGATGGTGGGGCACCTGGGTGGTGCAGTCCTTTAAGGGACTGACTTTTGGTTTCCGCTCAGGTCGTGATCTCCAGGTCATGATATAGATAGAGCCCTGTGTCAGCCTCTGCGATCAGCACCCAGTCGCCTTAAGACTCTCTTTCCCACTCCCTCTGCCCTCCTTCCACCCATGTGTGATTACGCTCACTCTCTAAAATAAATAAATAAATCTTTAAAAAAGAAAAGAAAAAATGGGTAAGATGGTAAATTTTATGTTATGTATATTTTACCAAAATAAAAAAAAAGTAGAAAAAGAAACTCTTTTTTGCTATAAAAGTGATACTACTCATTATTGAAAATATAGAAAATGTACAGAATTATATTTAAAAAGAAACCTACACGTACTGCCTCCACTTCAAGCACAAAATTAACATTTTGGTATTTCCTTTAAGTTTTTTTCTTAGTCATATTTGCATTTTGTTTTAATATGTAGTGTTTTTGTTAGTCTTCAGTTTTAAGTTTTTCTAAGTTCCATTGTGATTTCCCTTTTTGATTCACAGGTATTTAAAAATATACTTCTTACCTCCTAACCACATGAGATTTTCTAATTTTTAGATTAATTTGTAGCATAACTGAAATAAAATCAGAGAAAATTCTTTATATGATTACAATCCTTTTAAATTGGTTGATAATTGTTTTATTTCCCAGGGCACGGTCAATTTTAAAGTATGTTCTGTATGTTCTTGGAAAAGCCTTTAAAGGTAAGTATTCTGCAGTTATTAAATGCAGTGTTTTATTTCTTTCCATTCAGTCAAATGTTAATCATGTTCTTCAAATTTTCTATATCCTTACTGATTTTTTTTTTTGTCCAGTTGTTCTATCAGTGAGGAATCTATATTAAAATCTCCAATTTGTCTATTTCTCCTTTGAGTTTTGTCAAGTTTTGCTTTGTATGTATTGAGGCCATGTTATTTAGGGCATATACATATTTAAAGCTGTTATTATCTTCCTGGTGAATTGAACTTTTTATCATTATGAAATATTCCTGATTATTGTGGTAATGCTTTTTTAGCCTTAGTAACTATCCTTCCTGATGGCCTTTGGATGCCCAAGAACGGTTTCCACTGGATACCTCTCCTTTTAGAGTGTAGGTATCCCTCAAAAGTCTGGTAATTCTTGACTCTGGTTTTTTATCTTTATTTTAAAATCTCCATATGCCTTCCTGTTTTATTTACTGTAGTCTTCCCCTCATGTTGCTATAAGACTTAGGCCAGCAACTTGCTTTCTAAGTGTGTATGTAGGGAAGGTCTTTGTTTCTCTTGGTTACTTAGCTGGTATCAACCTTTGACATACCTCTTAGACCCCAGACACCAACTTCACTGCTTCAAGTTGAGGCAGATGCTGCTCTCATCTGTTGCTTAGTGCAAGGGAATCAGGGGGAGGAGCCAACTTTTGTAACTGGCACAACCATGGTTCCCGAATGACAATCTTATCATCAATGTCCCAGGTGACCATTCTGTTTCTTGTACACACGGACCCAAGGCTTGCTCCACCAGTTCTTCTTCAGCATTATGTTTTGGGTTAGCATTTTCTTCTTCTGTTCTATGACTTAGCAAATATAATTCTGTTGGCTTTCTATCTTTCAAGAATTCTTCAAAATGACTGATCCACCTACGGTACTTTCCATTCTATTCCAGTGACATTGTGCTTTTGTTTTCATATTGCTATATATAATTTTTCTCATTTCATTAGTTTTGATGGAGGAATGGGTCCAGTATGCCAACTTGATGATATCTGTATAAAATTGCTAATTTTCTTCAAGTGGTTATCAAGCTCGCTTACCTCAAATCTTAGTAACAAATTATATTGCCTTGGTTTTCAAGATTGATAATATATATGTTTTGATATGTTATGCTTTGAGTACCTGCTAGGTTACCTACCTTTAAACTTGTCACATCGTCTTCTACATTTTCTTCTAATTGAACTACATAAAAGGGCCTAAATTTTTCTTCAATGCCTGTATAAAAAAAATAATACTTTAAATTTTCTAAAGTAAAGTATTTTCTAAAGTAAAATTTAAATATTAGCAATCTATTATTTTTGAATTACTTACCTTAATCTGTGGACAAAGCAGTAAAATAAAAATTTTAATGCCAAATCACTGACTTACATGAAGAGACTAGTAAGACCAATAAGTAGGTGGACAGAAGGAGGGACAAGATAACACTGAAAACCAAGAGCTACTGCCTAATAGCATGTTTCTCTGGCTGCAGCACAGAGCCCTATCTAGTATGAATTACTCTCCAAGTGAACAGGGATGGATGGACTCCTTGTTTCTATGTCTCTGGGATCAGAATTATTATAGGACAGAATACTCAGAATAAGGATTTGATATAAGAGTCAAGAGGTGCTAGCTTTAAAAGAAAAAGGCAACTTCCACTTTCAGGAAGATGGAGTAGACATACTTTTCCTCATTTCTCCCTCTAAGCACAAGAACTGCTAGATATCACATATAAAACAAACATGAAAAGAGTCTGAAAGGAGGAAAGAAAAGGCAGACCAACTACAGAGTTTGGGATCTGAGGAAAGTCATGGCGATGAGTTCACTAGGATTTCTTTTTGCCTTTTAGATCCCAGACTTGGCCTTAAGGAAGCTGGCAACCCACCAAAAAAAAAAGCCTAACAAAAGCCTCTTCTAGCCAAAGGACTAAGCAAGGGGCAGCCTAGCAAGACAAAAGACCTTTATTCAATAACCATTCTCCAGCCAAACATCACAGAATACACTGTGGCTCCACTCGCAACCTCACCAGCAAAGGCCAAGTAAGGAGAGCTAAGACTTCCAACCTCATGAAACAGTAACAGGGTACTCCAACATCCCCACCAGGGTGATCTCAGGGAAGGCCAAATAAGGAGCCAGGTCTTTCCTTCCTGCCAGATGGTAATCAATGGACTATGAGGGTAAACTGGACTTGCACCCTTATTTTGCAGTAATAAGGTGCTCCCACCCATTCCAGTGGAGAAGTATCAGGAGAGGCCCCAGTGGGAGTCAGAACTTTCACCTCCACTGCAGTGTCCATGGAGACCAGGTGCACTCCACTGGAACTTCCATCCTGACCAGTACAAACAAGGAGCCTGCCCCCCCACCGCCCCACCTCAGGTGTCAACAGGGCTCAGTAGAAAACCTGGACGTCCCTCTACCTGTCAAACAAGGTGGCAGCCACCCTTCCACTGGCAAAGCCATGTCAGAAAAGGCTAGCTAAAAGAGAAGGCTTGAAGAAGATCCAGAATCTCCTAACACTATAAGAAAATGTACAAGTTTCAAGAGAAAAAAATCACTCATCACACTAAGAACCAGGAATATCTAAAACTGGAGAAAAAAAGATAATCAATAGATGCCAACACCAAGATACCAGAGATAGTAGAATTCACTGTTTAAAGGTTTAAACAGCCATGATACAAATGCTTCAACAAGCAATTACAAATAAGCTTAAAACAAATGAAAAAACAGGGATGCCTGGGTGGCTCAGTTGGTTAAGCCATTGCCTTCGCTTGGGTCATGACCCCAGGACCCTGGGATCGAGTCCCACATCAGGCTCCCTGCACAGCCTGCTTCTCCCTCTGCCTGCCACTCCCCCTGCTTGTGCTCTCTTGCACACTCTCACTCTCTCTCCATCAAATAAATAAATAATCTTAAAAAAAATAAAGATAAAAAAACAGGAAGCCTCAACAAAGAAACAAGATATAAAAGAAAGTTCAATGAAATTTTTGAATTAAAAAATATAGTAAACCAAAATGGATGAGTTCAACAGCAGAATAAAGGGGACAGAGGAAAATCAGTAAGCTGAAAGACAGAATGATAGACATAACCCAATTTAATCAAGAGAAAGAAAATAAACTGAGAAAAAAAAAGTGTACAGAGCCTCAGGGACAAGTGAAACTATAACAAAAGATCTAGTATTTTTGTTATCCCTACCTCAGAAAGGAAAAAGAAAGCATGGCTGAAAAAAGTACTCTACGAGATAATGGCTGAAAGCTTCCCAAATTTGGGAAGGGACATATACCTACAGATTCAAAAATCAAAAGAAAACCCAAACAGAATAAACCCAAACAAATTCATACCATGACAAATAATAATTAAACCTCTGAAAGATAAAGTTGTGAAAGCAGCCAGAGAAAATACCTTACCTATAGGTTTAAAAAAAAGGATTTCTTAACTAAAACCATGGAGGCCAGAGTAAGTTGCATGGTATTTATTAAATCCTGAAAGAAAGGAATTGTCAACCCAGAATCCTACACCCAGCAAAAATATCCTACAGAAATGAAGGTAAGACCAAGACATTCTCAAATGAAAAAAAACTGATAATTTGTCCCTAGCAGACAACAACCTAAAAGAATGGCTAAAGGAACTTCCTAAACAAGAAGGAAATGATAAAAGAAGATACCCCAGGGTGCCTGGGTGACTCAGTTGGTTAAGCGACTGCCTTCGGCTCAGGTCATGGTCCCGGAGTCCTGGGATCGAGTCCCACATCAGGCTCCTGGCTCAGCGGGGAGCCTG